ATTTAGTGCTAGATTGCTTTGAATCTTGGATCTTCATTAATTTACTAAGTGAATTGTCTTAGTCCAGATAAGATAGGATAAAAGTTCAAATGACGTCCCTCGTCTGCACCAGATATTGAAAAAATATCTGGCACAGATCCTGCGGCTCACTGCTCTCAGCACAGTGAATCGGTGGAATGGTGCCAAAAAAAAAACAGACTGGATATGAACCTGACATGTCCTCGTGTTTTAGCACTTGTTGTATTGAAAAGGAGGACTGGAGTTTCATCAGCATGGTAGTTTTATATATAGAGTTAAGTTTTAATGTCTGTCATTTTTTTTCCATGAAAAATTGTGATATGGAGTGACAGCATGTGAAGACACTGATATGTCTCAAGCCCAATGGATGAGAGTTGACAGCCCTGTTGTGATCTTTTATTGAATTGTTACCATGGGCTAACAGCCCTGTACTGACTGGAAAGATAGACTAGATTATTTATTTGTCATCATACATACATAGAACAATTTAATTGCTTTCTCAAGGTGTGGGTGGTAGGTGGTGTTGTTATCACCAAAGCTGAAATGTAATTTAAATGGACACAATAAGAGCAGAAATTATTGATATATACATGTGCCCTTTCCGGTGTGTTGGTAAATCACCATGTTGCTTCATTCCAAACTTTTCCAACACATAGTGAAATTCTCGTGTCCGAGTCTTGCTGAATCAGTCCATGTGAATGCTGAAGTCACCTATAAGGATTCTATTTGGGGTTAAGGACAACACAATTGTTAAAAGTGAAGACACTTCCTTTAAAAATCTTGAATAGCTGTATAATTTAATTCCTTCAACAGTTCTCCCCTTTAACTGTGATGTAGAAACTATGCACTCAGTGATGCAGTGTCATACTGTTACCTTTACATTTTTCTATCAAATCATTTAGATAGTTTCTCACAGACAAAATTATCCATGACTGACTGAGAATATAATCAGAAAAACAATAAGCTTGCATTAAACATTGTTGACATACTCAGAATATGCAGTTTCATACATGTATGTTAAACAATGTGAGCAAAAAGATTTGTTTAGTTTCTAACCAAGAAAAAACAAAATCTAAGATTATCCGAAGGCACTACAGACAAAATAACAAGACAGAAGCAAGATTTTTTGGAGGGATTTTCTTTTTTTTTAAACTGTTTGGTGAAAACAAACCAATAGCAATAGAAATAAAAAACAGCTAATCCAGTTTATGTCACAGCTCAGAACAGAGAACACAGTATTCTGAGAGACAGAGAGTATGATATTTCAAAAAGCATTTTGTTAAAATGACGGATCTGCAGTGAACAGGCAGGAACCTCTGGTCTTAAAGTTCAGTTCATGCCCATAGGAAGAGGTAGAGGTGAACAGATCAGGCAGGGACAGACAGGGCCAGTAGGTGAGAGGGAATGGAATCAGGGAAACAGAATCGCTTGGGAAAACGCTGAAACACTCCCACCACTGGTTACAGAATAACTCAACTGAGGACACTGGCTCAGAAACAATCCCTTATTGGAAACGGGGACATGAACCTTGGAAATAACTAAAATTAAGGAAATCAACAGACAGGAGAAACAGAAATAAAACAAACATACATCAAACAATGATCTGGCCACGATAGCTGGAACTGAGCCCAATAAAAGGGAAACGCAGGTGGATGAGATAAGTGACAATTAGGAGGTGGATAGAGTTAAGCAGGTGAAAGGCATGAGCAATTAAGGTGAGCTATCAGGGCAGACTCAAACATTATTTCAACAAAGACATGATTGGTGTCATAGTTTGACAAAAAATAGAAAGATTACAGTGTAGGGCTTTACGAATATGTACAGGAGCAATAAAAACAACACCTATTAATGCTCTATTAATTGAAAGTGGGGAAACTCCACTTGAAATGAGGAGAATTAAATTAGCTTTAGCATATTGGATGAAAATTAAAAGTAATATAGATGATCATGTGAATTCAACTATTCTGCAAAATTGTTGGGAATATGTGAAGTTCCAAAGTAATGGAT